GGTGGCTCAAGTTCTGGCCGAAATCCTGGCACTCCGAACGAAGGTCGACCGAGCTCCCATCCTCGAAATCCTAGTATTGATGGTCTCACGATGGGCCCTCTCCCATCAAACTCCCCTGTCATCCGTGTTATCCACACCGGCGGACAAACCAAAGTCTTGGATATTCGGAACTGCCGAACACCAGATGAAGTTATTTTGTGTGTGCTGAAGAAACTACAGCTTCCTGAACACCAATACAGAAATTATTGTTTCTATGTTCTGGACGGATTGGATCCAGAATTATCAAATTGCCGGAAGCTCACCGAATCGGAGCTCATGGAAATCTGCGATGGCTATAACAAGTCCGAGCGAGGTCGCTTGATTCTACGGAAGATCCATGCTGGGGAGCCCGATGAAGACGAGCTTCGTCGTGCATCTCAGCTTGCATATGATGAAAGCCAAGCCACCCACCAGCACGCTCTGAATAATTCCAACCAGCGCCAGAAACATAAGATCCAGCAACTTACCGGCGAATCTTGGCATAACATTAAGCAGCCACTTTCTCCGCTGGGCCCTCGACATCGCCCATCCACCTCCAGTGTTGATGAATCTCAAGGGCCCAACAATGAGCGTAATCCCGTCGCTAAACTTCGCTCGTTCTTCGGACAGAGACCTCCAAGTGAGATGATTATTCACGAACTACAATCATTCTTCCCCAGTCATGACCGAGAGAACATTGAGAAGACTATGCGCAGATCTCAACGTTTGAGTCGTGCCGCAAGTCGTATGAGTGTTGTGAGCAACTACAGCGTTGCATCAAGTATGAAAGATGCTCCTCCTCTACCGCCATTGCCCCAATTACCTCCAATTCCCAGCATTGCCGATGCATGGCTCCATGGCCCGGGAGTGGCACAGGCAGTACGAGCCCCGCGACCCATCTCAGTTTCCAAATTCAACCTACCTCAAGCGTCATATCGAGATTCTATTGCATCCAGTTCCCTCCAGCCACTTCAGGAAGAGTCACCCACTGAGCCTAACCGAAAGTCATATGTCTCCTTTGAGAGTGGCTCCGACGAACCGAATCCCTTGCGCGAGTCGCGCCAAAGCTTTGAGAGTCTCAGTGTCGCGGCCACAGATGGAGGTTCCTTTAACGATCGTATGAGTATGATTGTAGCCGAGGATGGCGAAGAAGAGGACGATGTTCTTGTGGACTTCTTAGCTGGAAATAATTTTGCACCAAAGAACTGGATGAAGGGATCTCTGATTGGCGAGGGTTCTTTCGGAAGCGTTTACCTGGCTCTTCATGCTATTACTGGAGAGCTTATGGCTGTCAAGCAGGTTGAAATCCCATCCGCCACTAAGGGCACAGAATTTGACCAGCGGAAGAATCTCATGGTCAATGCTCTTAAGCATGAGATCGAGCTGCTGCAAGGAATGTCCCATCCCAACATTGTGCAATATCTCGGCACCGTCGCTGACGACCAATATCTCAATATTTTCCTGGAGTATGTTCCCGGTGGGTCTATTGCTACAATGCTGAAGCAATACAACACTTTCCAAGAACCCCTTGTCAAGAACTTTGTTCGACAAATCTTGGCCGGTCTGTCATACCTACACGGCCGGGATATCATCCATCGTGATATCAAGGGTGCCAACATTCTAGTTGACAACAAGGGTGGTGTTAAGATCTCCGATTTCGGTATCTCCAAGCGTGTTGAAGCATCCCACCTTCTCGGCGCCCGCGCTAGTGGCAGCGGTGGTGGCCATATCCACCGCACATCTCTCCAGGGAAGTGTGTACTGGATGGCACCCGAAGTCGTGCGGCAGACTGCGCACACCAAGAAAGCCGATATCTGGAGTTTGGGTTGTCTCGTCGTCGAGATGTTCATTGGTGCCCATCCCTTCCCGGATTGCAGCCAGCTGCAAGCTATTTTCGCTATCGGCAGCAACAAGGCTCGCCCTCCTGCTCCAGACAATGTGAGCCAGGAGGCCGTGGATTTCCTCGACATGACTTTCCACCTGGAATACGAGCAGCGGCCTAGTGCTGATGAACTACTCCAGTGCGAGTTCTTATCTGCACCTATCGTATAATCAGCGGTAGCTTTAGTTTCCTTTCCCCTTTTCTCTCCTGTGTCTCCTCGATGCATGCATGTATGTAATATGATTTTACGTATGATGGTGACTTTCCAGTCTATTGAACGATTATCCCGATCATGGGGTCTTTCTCGGTAGTATTGATGTAACCGAGCGAAGGCTCCTGCTGTCACTTTCCAATTATCGTATGTACTGTTGCTCGCTGTAAATGTAGATTGAATTTAAGCCAAAGATAGTACACAATTCTGAATAATCACAACGACCATTATGCAGGTCTTCTCTAAAGTTACATGGTGGATATCACAAGACTACCCAAAAGGAGATATAATAAAAGACCAAAACTAGTCATCAGGTAAAACTGATCTAGTTAACGATCTTGCCGTAGAAAGGAATACCCATAGCACTCAAGAGAAGTCGTGCATCCTTGTCAGTTTTAGCGGTAGTGTGGAGAGTGATGTGGCAACCAGGGATCATCTTGGGAGGATACCTATGAAGCAGGATTAGCCTTGATACGACAATAGAACGTGGAGCACACTTACATATCGTAGTTGATCTCAAGCTCCGGGAACAGAGCAACATTCTCCGGCACCAGACCAAAAGTAATGTTACCACTGCTATCACCACTGGATCCCTTGACACCATCCCAATCCTTGATACGGGGCAGGACGACATCAACCAGCTTACCAAAGAAGTGGTACATATTCTCGCCATACAGCTCAGCCTTGACAGCGACAGAGTCACGGTTTGCCGCAATACCCCAAGGAGCAACGTTAGACTTAGACTTGAAAGTTTCAACGCGAACATTGGAGATAGCCTGGACGGCAATACCAGCGACGTGAAGCCAAGAGGAGTTTCTCTCAGCCGCGGCATTCTTGACATAGCTGTGGATTGTGATGCGCTCAAGTTCGGGGATGTTGTTAAACTTGATCGGCTTGCGGAGCAGACGCAGGACGTCGCCGCCACGGGGTCCACGGAGGACACGGTTCTTGTGGTAGGGCGAGCTGTCATCCCATTCGCGGAGACGGGCTGCTTTGGGGGGAGGCTTGAAGCCTGGCGGTGTGTGCACGTAGCACAGGGTCATGATGTCGGCGGAGACGGTTGAGTCGAAGGTCTGCTCCGCTCGGGGCGCGGAGAAGGGGCCTGGGACGAACAGTCGGGAGGCGGGGTGGGATGGTGGCGGCGGTTGGTGAGGGTGGAGGGGACCACGGTTGTATTTTGGGGAGCGGAATTGGTATCTGCAAGGAAGGGATCGGGATTAGTTATTGTTTATTCCGTTCGATGTTGTTTTCGTGTTTGCAGATGCGCACAACTGAAGATGTAGTTGGAGTGCTCTTACCGGCCTCGGGGAAGCTGGTTCTTACGAGCAGCTGCTCGTGCAAGCGGGTCGAATGATGCTGCTGCGCTATTTGGCACAGCCGTTGACAGAGATGACGCCGATTCCAGCTCGGTCAGGTGGTCCGACAGACGCCGTGCCGGGGCTTCATCGGAGACATTGCGGCGCGATAAAAAGCCTTGAGGGCGAATTGATGGCACCGTGGCCCGGGGCAATGCCCTTGTTAGATATCTAGACGGCTCTCTGGCAGCCATTATGTGAAAAATGTGGTGTGATGGATTGGGGATCATCTCGGACCCTTACCAAAAATTGTTCGCGCAGATAATCCCGTCACGTGAGCCTCTGGATATTAACGCCTTATAAAACAGGCTCTATATCCGCCTACATATGTAACTACTAATCAACTAACTCACTACATAGTTACAATACCTTGAGTAGTTGGTCAATAATGCTCGGCCTAAGTATTTTATATTGATCCGTTTCCTATAGACTCACCCTGTAATAGAGGCTGTCCACTTACACTACCTCTATCCGTGGACTTGACCATACTCCGATGACTAAACATTCCAAAGTCATTTACCGTACTTACTACTGCAAAAAAAGACATTTAATGGGAGATATTCCTTAGGTACATGAGGTTGTTTGTTTGGAAAAACTTATTCATTCATCAGCATTGATCTTTGGGGGGGGGGAAATGGAAGGAGGTCAAGCAATCCATGGATCTTTGCTCAACTACAATAGACTATCCAGGAGGACCCTCGCTGGATGGTTATGCAACGGAGATTCGGCAGTAGCTATGAATGATGCCGCCTTATTTGTACCTAAATATGCACATATCGATGTGATTTATTATAAAGCAGAGACAATAACCGTATTATAAGTAGACATTACTAGGAGCTGACAGGGCTCTACATTAAATTATAGCCCTAATCTTTCAAGATGGATACATACATATATCCTACATACATTATGTATCTTCGCAGATAAAGGCCCTAGACTATTTCTTAGGAGAAACATCACCAAGTCTATAGACACTGCCACAGCTACATAGTTCAATCTTTGAAGAATCTAGGAGCTTAGAATGAGACAACTTTGCTGCTAAGCTTGTGAGCTATATACCAAGTTTCTTGCCATTTCTTGCGGTGAATCTGACCACCCACCATGAACATATATTCATTCTTGGAAATGTTCTAGAAGATCTACCCTTGTCACCCCACACTTTTCAGGCGGTGACATGGGGGAGCTTTCTTTATTGCCAAGATTAGGGCAAGATGTTGGCGCCTAGCGGTTGAACTATGGTAACTGCCTTAGGTGTCTGCTCCCGCTCTGCCCCGCAGATCACCTGGAGGGTTGCTCACTTCTAATCATTTGTCCAGTTGCATGCTTCTTTTCGACCCGTGTTCATATCAGAAGTTCTCTACTTATGATGTATCCTACATGCGCACTCCAGAAATCCTGCAGCCTTGACTAAGCTCTAAGCTAGTTCTAGTCTACAGGTCTCCTGATCCTCGCATGTTCTCTAATCTTGAGCTCATTTCTTTCTATCTAGAAAGCCTGCTCTTGGAGGTGTTTTCTATCATCTCCATTCGCAATAATGAGTGGCATTCATCGGTTTTTGACGCGTCGCGACCGGCACAATAAGTTGAACAAGCAAAGCAAAGAAGAGGTATGTGTGTACGGAGTACAGAACACCGTGATGTTGCCTCCAAATACAAGATCTCACATTGGCTGATATTTTGTGCTTTTTAGGCATCTCATATACTTTCACGTCCTCTATTCCATGGACTTTTCAAGGCAGAGATAATACCGGAAGATAATCACAATCATGAGAAGGTATGGCCTAAGCACATTACAGCCAGTTTGCACCTGTCTAATATTCGGAACTCCAGGTCAAATCCCTTGCTCAACGAATGAAGCAGCTTGGAATTACTGCGATAGAGGAAGAGCATATGAATTATGCATTGAAAGCCACACAAGGTGACACAGAGAAGGCATTCAGTCTGCTACTCCTGCTAGAGGACTCCATCGAAGGAATCATCAGGAATTACACACCGAACACCAAGCTTCTAGGTGCAGAAAACCGTCAAGGAGTCACATGCTATCTAGACGCGTTGTTGTTCGCCATGTTCGCCCGTCTTGATTGTTTTGAAGCCATTCTATACAAATCATTTAATGATGAGCCGCGTCGAAAGCTTGCAATCCTTCTGAGACTATGGGTGAATCTGTTGCGATCGGGGAAGCTCATAACCACAGATATGGTTAGTTATAATACTTGTAGTTGTCCCCATCTTTCATCTTGGTACTGACTAGTTGCTTCCAGACAAAGCACCTACAGGAGTCCCTAGCAGAATGCGGTTGGGAAGATGCAGCCAAACTTCAACAACAGGATGCTTCAGAAGCATTCACTTTTCTTACTGAAAAGTTAGAGCTGCCACTTCTGACTTTAAAGATGGACATCTATCATACTGGAAAGGAGGATGAAAGTGATGACCATAAGTTCATCAATGAGAGGCTTCTCGAGGTTGCCATACCACCAGAGCCAACTGATGGACAATCACTCACACTGGAAGACTGTCTGGAAGCTTACTTCAATAACAGAATTGAAGTGAAACGACATATGGAACGACGCAACACTGCAAGCTCGATTAGATCGGCGGATTCACTCTCCATATCCAAGGGGTCCACCTCACATGTTGAAACAGTGGAGATTGAGGTCACACCCACTGTTTCTCCTTCTCAAACAAATGCACCGCGAGCCGAAAAACCAAACCCCTGGTCATCCTTCAGTGAGTTCGCTGAAACCCTCGAGGCATCTCGAGCACCTGGCCGACGTGCTAGTATTCTTCGCGAGCGGTTCTTTCCGGATCCAAGTGACCACACAAATACCGGAGATTCGAATCTGGAGGAAGATACCAGTGCAGATCAAGATACCAGTGGCGATGCACAACCTCGAAGGGGCTCATATAAGAAAGAGGTAATGATGCCTGCGTGGCAGTTTTTCAGTTTGATACGTATGTCATCTCCTTTCCTTCTGTTCTTTAAGTTTCGCGTGAACTGACCTGATCTTGCTTAGCGTGGTATACAGACAATACGCCAACAAATGACGCGCAAGTTGCAGCACACTTTTCCTCAAAACGGCCGATCCTTGGGATGTGTCTGAAACGTTATTCCTTCTTGCCAGACGGGAAGGCAGTCAGACTCAACACACACATTGATATACCAACAGAGATCGGCCTGCCTCATTTCATCCAAGATGACAACTTGGATGCGAATGCTCCTATCTATGGGAGCTTCAAACTCTCTTTGCAGGCTCTGGTTTGCCACAGGGGCAACTCGGTTGACTCGGGGCATTATATTTCCATTGTTCGAGGCACCAATTCCGCCAATGGTGGCACTCCTGTCACTAGTGGCCCGGAAGCCCCAGAGACATCCAAACATTGGATGCGGTTCGACGATCTTGCAGCAGAACGAGTGACATTGGTTGACATTGATCATGCGTTGAAAACGGAATCTCCCTATCTTCTATTTTATCAAATTCTTCCTATCGGCGAAGATCCATCTGCGCCCAATATTCCGAATGCACCGTCATCTCGGGCGTCAGACGGCAGTACACTAGCCGACCAAACAGATTTCAGCGCCGAAGACTTTGCTTCTGAGCGACCAAGTGTTGAAGTGACAGCGCCATGCGAGACTAATGCACAAACATTAGCCAATGCCGCAAGACGACCCAGCATAGCATTCTCAGATGCCAGTAATCCAGCTGGTCTTCAGCCACGCTCTGTTCCATCCTCATCGCCTAAGCTGGCATCGATGGATGAAGAAAACACAAAGGGGACATCGCTCTCAGGTCGTGGGCCTCGATCAGTCAGGAGTAATCCCGGCAGTCGTGCTGGCAGCCAAACGGGTGAAAATAGAATCAGTGCCACTTTTTCGCGCTTTGCTGAACGGCTTAGTCGGGATAGAATTAGCAATGACGGATTTACAGAGGGAAAGGAAGGAGATGAGTCTGCAATGGAGATTGATGACACTGTGGATGAGCTGAAACTCGGGCCAGCTGCCCTTGAGAACAAGGAGAAGCGTGGTAGAGGCCGAACGAAGGATCAGGAGCGGCACAAAGGGAAGGCAAAGGAGAAATCTAAGGAAAAGAGCAAGAAATTGGATCGGGAATGTGCAGTGATGTGAGCCAGGGATTACCTTTTTCATTTTGAGATACCCAGTCTAGCTGTTGCATGTTTCACAAACGAATGATACCCCATGAGGCATGAGCAACGAAGCTAGCTTTAAATCAACAGATGCCTACAAACAATTATGTTTTCTTTTCCTCCAGTGTAATACTAGATCTGAGAGTAGTTTTGAGTTGGTGATCTTGGGTCTTGGCCTCAGGTGTCGAGGCATCATCCACATGGCTTAGACCCCAAGAAGCTCATTTCCGTCCTGCATCAACTCGCAAAACCTTGGACTCGCCTCAACTTTTGTATGAGCGGCATGACATAGTGCTCATACAGCTAGCGCATCATGGCGCTGGACGGATCCAGCAGTTATGTTGCTCCAAGCAACTTAATGGAGCCACCGAGCTCTTCCCTCCCCATGTTCGACGTTGAACGAGTGCAGCTGGCCTTCTCCGTCGCTGCAGACTTCGTTGCAGCGCAGGTCGCCAACAATGTGCTTGTGCTAGCATTATCAACTAATCGCATTCTCCGGATCGATCTCGACTCCCCTGAAGATGTCGAAGGTAGGCTTCCGAACCTTCCCCGCAGCAAATGCCGGTCACAACAAGTTGACCTAACCGTACTCATGAACGATAGACATCGATCTCCCCAAGAAATCTTCTGAAGTTGGAGTGATTCGGCGCATGTTCCTCGACCCGTCGGCATCTCATTTGATTATCACCACGACCCTCGGCGAAAACTACTATCTCCATGCCCAGTCACCGTCCCGACAACCGAAACCCTTATCACGATTAAAAGGAGTGTCAATTGAAAGCGTTGCTTGGAATCCATCTTTACCCACCGCCTCTACTCGCGAAATACTCCTCGGTGCCACTGATGGCAACGTCTACGAGACTTATATTGAACCCTCCAGCTACCGGCAGGAGAAGTATACCACTCCGGTCTACCAGGTGCCAGGTGCCTCTCCGATTGTTGGAATCGCGGTAGAACCAGTGCCCTCTAAGCCTGATCAACGAAGGATACTTGTGGCAACTTATGGGAAGCTATTACATTTCATTGGCCGGACAGGAGTCTCAAGGCACGGGAGGGAAAGCGGCGTGTATTCGGAGCTTTTCCAGCGCGAGCTACCAGTGACCCACGAGGTTTCAAACCCGTCTGGCTCTGCACCATCTTCGCTGGTGATTTCGCCCACAATTTCAGAGAGTTATCAGGCCGAAGGGTATGCCGAAAAGCAGTTTGCGTGGCTCAGTTCCGAGGGGATATACCATGGTCAACTTGCGTCGGAGTCTCCATTCAAGACCGCAAACATGCTTGCGCGCTCAGTATTTCCAGCTTCGGAATCGCCGCGAGGAGGGCGGAAGTTGATACAAGACCCGATTTCTGCCATGACTTTATCACAGTGGCATGTGCTAGCCCTTGTTGGGGGCAGAGTGGTTGCAGTCAATCGTCTTAGCCAGGAAGTTGTCCACGATCAACCCGTATTGGAGCCTGGGCAAAGCGCACTGGGCCTCTTGACTGATCTCACCAAAAATACATATTGGCTCTTCACCAGCCAGGCCATTTTCGAAGTTGTAGCAGGTGATGAGGACAGAGACGTCTGGAAAATCTTTTTGAAAGAGCAAAAGTTCGATGAGGCCCTTCACTATGCCCGAGGTGCTGCCCAGCGAGATGCTGTTATGACTGCTTCAGGTGATTTCCTGGCAGGCAAAGGCAACTTCCTCGAGGCAGCCAAAGTATGGGGCAAGAGTAGCAAAGGGTTCGAGGAGGTTTGTCTTACCATGATTGACCATAAAGAACATGATGCTTTGCGGAACTACCTCCTCTCCCAGCTGGCAACATACAAGAAGGCCTCGCTTATGCAAAGAATAATGGTTGCAAGCTGGCTTGTGGAACTGTTCATGTCAAAGTTGAATTCCCTCGATGACAATATCGCCACCAAAGCCGAATTGGCAGAAGGCACGAGCACCGGAGAAATCAAGGATCAGCTTGGTAGCATTCGAGCTGATTTCCAAGAGTTTGTGAACAATCACAAAGCAGATTTAGACAAGAAAACAGTATACGATATCATCAGCAGCCATGGGCGGGAGGAAGAACTGTTGTTCTTTGCAACTGCTACAAACGATCACAACTATGTTCTATCGTACTGGATCCAGCGCGAGAGATGGCTGGAAGCCTTGAAGGTTCTGCAGCGGCAAAGCGAAGCCGATGTGTTCTACAAATATAGTAGTGTGCTGATGACACACAAACCGACAGATCTGGTCGATATCCTGATGCGACAGACGAACCTTGATCCTGAGAGACTGATCCCCGCGTTGTTGAATTACAACAAGTCTGCCAGCGTCTCGTCTCTAAGCCAAAACCAAGCCGTCCGGTATCTGAACTTCATTATCGTCAACCACCCAAATCCATCTGCGGCAGTCCACAATACCCTTATCTCAATACACGCTTCCAGTCCCTCGTCGTCCGAGGCTGGACTGCTTACTTATCTCCAATCGCAGCCAGCATCCCCCCCTCCATACGATGCAGACTTCGCACTTCGCCTGTGCATCCAGAATCAACGAATCCAGTCATGCATTCACATCTACAGCACAATGGGACAATATCTACAAGCAGTAGAGCTAGCCCTGGAGCACAATGACATAGAACTCGCTGCCATCGTCGCGGACCGCCCGGAGGGCAACGACAAGCTCCGCAAAAAGCTATGGCTCCTCGTTGCCGAGAAAAAGATCCGCCAACCGGGCACGGGCATCAAAGACGCGATTGAATTCCTGCGCCGCTGCGAACTGCTCCGCATCGAGGACCTGATCCCGTTCTTCCCCGATTTTGTTGTCATCGACGACTTCAAGGATGAGATTTGTACTGCTTTGGAAGACTACTCTCGCCACATCGACTCGCTCCGCCAGGAAATGGATAACTCAGCCCTTACAGCCCGCCAAATCCGCGGTGAAATTTCCGGTCTCGATACTCGCTACGCCATCGTTGAGCCAGGTGAGAGGTGCTGGATCTGCTCGCTACCCGTTCTCAGTCGTCAGTTCTTCGTCTTTCCCTGTCAGCATGCTTTCCACAGTGACTGTCTGGGTAGGGAATTCTTGGACGGCGCTGGTGGCAAGAAGAAGTATATTCGGGATTTGCAAGCGCAGCTCAGTAGTGGGGATATCTCTACCTCACGGCGTGAGGAGATTGTTAAGGAATTGGATGGGCTAGTCGCTGAAGCTTGGTATGTGTCTTTCCTATTAGCTTACCGGTAGTATATCTTGCTAACCATATCTTCTCGCAGTATCCTCTGCGGTGACCATGCCATCAAACAAATTGACAAACCCTTCATCGCAAGCACAGAGACGGCCGAGGATTGGGCTCTCTGATATGCATCTCCCAATCAATGTTGACGTGTTCGCCATGGCGCAAGGCGCTGTCTAATATCTCTCTCGTGTGGTGCTCAGACAATATTTCTGCGATACTTTTTTATTACTTTTGTTTTTGATTTTTCGCAATACCCTTCCTTGTCTTAAGCAGGTGCTACATGATAAACGAGGCCTAGCCCTCGTATATAGACATGGCTATACTGAATGTGATTCGGATCCAAACATTAATTTTGTACACATTCGAAGAGAAATAGCATACGTAAATACAGCAAGTAGACCATAAGTAGTTGACCTAACTCCATGCGAAAATAAACAAATTCCGAGAAAGATAGAAAAGGAAATAGGGATGAATAACAGAGGGCTATATCTCAGAACATAGCCCTAATATACCTGCCCCACAAAGCGCAGACCACCTAGTTCTCGGGCCATAGATACCGCAGCAGTTCCAGATCCTGCGCAACGGCCGGACTGTGCGCTGCACAGTCCTCCAAAAATCCTAGCATCTCCTCGTTCCAGCGTTCCCAGCCATTTGGCAATGTCTCGCGGAGACGGGCACTTGGTGAATGGGCTATGCAATAGAAAAGCAGGATTTGGCCAAAGAATCTTGAGCGAAGAAAGTCAGTCAAACTCATTCAAACACACAGTTATATTTGATTAGAGATTAGAAAGGAAAATGTAAGGGCCAACTCACTGCGAGCAAAAAGCAAACTTAATCGGAATACAGCTCTTCATTTTCCGGAAGATACCCTGAGTGATCGGCCAGTCCATTGCATTCTGGAGACCGCTTCGCACCTGCACGAAGTCTTCATCTGTTAGGAGGTGCGGGATTCGGAGGGCTTTGTATAGATACGGGCGGCCGATGTGGAAGCGGGCGATCATGTGCCGGCCTTTAAGCATGGCGTCTGCTACTGCTATTGCCGGGGAGAGGGGCTGGTTCGGGTCTGTGTGCCTTTGTCTTGGGGAAGAGAGATGGGCCGGAGATGTTACTGAGGCGGATGGGGAGGGGTGGATAGAGGGCGTTGCTGGGGTTGGGTGTGATGAGTAAGGGGCGTTGCTGAATTGGATTGCGGTTGGGAGGTTGGTGCGCCATTGTTCTAGTTGGTGGTGTAGCTCGGTGTTTATTGCCGGGAGGGGGAAGGTTCCTGAGTCCGCTAGATGGAGGATTGGTGTTAGAGGATGGATTTTTTTGTGCGTGGAATGGTAGGATAACTTACAGTAGAAGTAGAGGGAATGGCGGATCCGTGTGAGAATGATGCGATGGGCTACCTGGGCCAGGAAATGGTATTGGAAATATGAGTCGTCAACTACGCTTGATGAATTGAAACGGTTTGAGGCGTAGCCGGTTGTTTCGAAGCCGATGAATTTGGGAATTGGGACTTTTTCTTCGAGACGAGAGAGGCCACTTGGTGGGAGGTGTAACTCTTGTACGAGAATGGTCTCGTTCATTAGACAGTTCCAATATACGCGGGATTTCATATCTCCTTCCCACTCGTCAAAATTCACATTATGGCTGTATCTGAGTCAGTATTTTCCTAGATATTTGAGATAGATAGGCCATGACTCACTTTGTCAACATTGATAGACAGCAAGTGGCAGCGCGAGAAATCATTGTCCACGAATCAATCGGACGAGGAATCTGACTATAATATAT